TAAGGGCTACTTTCGAGTAAGCCCTAGAATCAGGCAAAGCCGTTCAACCCCGCAGGCGAATCTACAGAGCAGAACTCCGGCTGGTATCCATCTATTGAAACATGCTCCAACCTACTTCAAGCTCCTATTCCGTCTACAAGAGTTCCATTAATCACAGAATGTGTGCATAACGATAAACTAACCTTCGGCGTGGCCGTTGCCTTGATTACTTCGGCTTCGTACTCGGACATAACCTCTTTGAAAAGCACCGCGAGAGGTTCGAGCCGGAGAATCTCCACTTTAATTGGAGCAAGCCGGAGGTATGGCCTATCCATCTGGAAACAAAACCTATGTTAAGAAAAAAAATAGACAGGGGCTGTGCTATTCTACGGAGGAATTTCAAAGAAATCGGCCACCTTGTAGTAGCAGTATAGCTTCTTCTCCTCCTCCGGTGGTGTAGGTGGAGCTTCACCACGACACAGCGCTTCATACGCATCACGTTCAACGATTCCATCGTTCTCCACTCGCTGAAGCTCGTACGTAAAAAACATAAAAAGCTCTACATTGGAACCGAACTCACCTTATTGACGATTGGTGGCAGCTCGCCCTCCATATCCTTTCCTTCTAGCATATCCTCGTACCATTTTACGTTTCCTTAAAGTCGAAGTTAAAGTACAATCAGATGGGCTACATAAGTTAACGAGCACTTAGAGGCAAGGTCCGAGATTTCTGGTCGAAACTGAGCTTTTTCTCGAGAAAAATGCGACGAAAGCACGTACGCAACCTTCGGAATGATTTGACAAAGAGGAGGCGCGAAGGCCCTAGGATGCAGCACTTGGCCGCGCCTAAAGCCCTTGAGCCCGCCCACAAGCCAGTGTTATTTGGCTTTGACTACTGGAGACAGAGTTTTACTGTCGGCCAGTCCCTTCCCGTTTTTCCATTGCTGGCTTTGACTTCACGTCTCCAATGTCATTTGCAAGCGCCGTAATTCAACAGCTTGATCACGGACTTGACCTTGAATCACCAATGAGAGAAAACAAAGAGCTATTCAGGTGACGGAAGTGCATTCTTTTGAGAAATACTGCAAAGAGAGACAAGCCAAAGTTGCCACAACAGCTAGACTGCTGCATCTATGTGTTGGTTAAAATGATCGAACCCTGTTGGGTCTATCGGGCTCTACATCCATTGACCCATTAGTCTAACCAAACAATGGTTCGAACATGGGTCGCCTACAATTACTCCAAAAACTGAAAGGTTAAAGTGAGTTCAAAAACTGAAAGGCTAAAGTGATGGTAACAAACAAGCCAAATGCACATCTACAAAAACCGAACTGACTTGGAAGTCACACAAGAGCAAAAGATCGTGCACATGGATGCCATTAGGAAGCTTTCACCGAGTAACCTTCGGAAGCGACCAACAGTTGCGAACAGCTTCAGGCAGGCCGTCGAGAACCTTTGAAACCCCTCTCCCCCATCCACACCAGTAGAGCGCTATGCACAACCCTTGTCCTCGTGCAGACGGCCTGTGAAAAGGTGTGATTGCCCTTACTCCATGCTGATATTGGAGCAGCCTCCTACTAAGGGAAACTTTGAAAATTGAACGCGTAATGACCAAAACACGGGAAAAATTCCGTTTTCGGGTAACCAATGAGGGTATAACTATTAGAAGTAATTAATTTTACATTTCTGAGAGAAATAACCTCTTTAAAATGTAAAATATCGGGAAAAATCATAGCGCTGTAAGTCAGAAAATTTGGTCTGTTCACTTATTATTAAAATGAGCTGAGATGTTCATTTCCGTTAAAAATGGCTCTGTTAACAATTTTTGCAAAAACATTGAAGAAAATTTCCGATATGCGCGAATTTTCACACTTTCAAAAGCCATAATTCCTTTCATATGCATCGGCAGAAATGTGATTATGACACTGTGAGCTAAAAGATTCGCTTTATTCAACTGTTATACGACGATACGTTAGGATTCCGAAAAATGGTGCCATTGAGGTTTTTCTCAGAGTGCCGCCAGAAATTCCCCTTCGTTGACAAAAATGTATGCATTAAGAACATTGGGTATAAGAAATGTCCCGGGAATCAAGAAAAAGAACACTTCTCTCATAGAAGCAGATTACTGAAGGAGAAGAGAAGCTTCAAGAATCCACAAAATGTAGAATGAGTTACAAAACGAAGAGTTGACAAGAACTCACCTTTGGCTCTTGGGTGGTTTGGAGCGATTGCTGCCAGTCTCTTCGTTAACGCGAGAGCCCGACGGACGTTACCTTGTTGGTAGAGGGAGTACGCAAGATATTCCAAAACTTCCTCTTCCTCGATTGTTTTGGGATTCTCATGTTCAAGTGAAAGCTTCTATCTGAACATAGTGAAACTCGCATTCATAAAACACAGACGGTAAAGAAATCCACTCAATAGACCCGTACATAAGTGTTGCAGAGTAAATACGCTTGAAACGAATCCAGTGAAGAGAAGAGAAGGGTTAGCTAGATACTTGTTCCCATGTGGGCAAGACCCCACTCTTTCAAACAACTGCGATGGAAATTCCAAAAGTAAAAGTAAGAAGTAACTTCCCCCACGATAGGGTCTCGTGCAGTTCCCCCCCCCCTAGATGAATGGCGGTGAAGAGAACGGTGTGTCCCATGCAAGGCACGATGTGTGTTTGCAACAAGAAGTTTATATGGTGCTCTGAAAGGCGCTGTGGAAAGATCCACGGCCTTCCGGAGCGAAAAATGGTTGTAAGTGGTTCCTTTTTGCCATTCATCACCCAATTAGACATTTAAAGCCAACCAAGTGCGAAGATATTTCAACAACGGCGAGATGGCCAAAGTAGCACAGCGCTTTGACACACGCTGTCACACCCTCGCGGTACATAAGACTCAATCTGTCAGAGTTTTCCCATTCAGTTAGCTCGGTGAAAGTCAATTGTTTCCGAACTTGCATAGGAGGAAACCTCTGTCACTTGAACAAGTCATTCATTGGAGGGGAGCCACCTTTTAATATATAATTCTGCACGGTAGTCGAGAAATGACATATCCGACGACGAGCGAAGTTTGGGTGTCTCAAGTGGTACGATTGGAAATTTCAGCACCTAATTAGTGCTGCGTCGCGACGAGGTGCGAAGTGACCTCAAATTTTGGCACCTAATTAGTGCTGCCTCGCGACTAGGCGCCAGCTACCTGTGGGCGAGACGCGCCGTACATGTCCATAACGGTGCAAAAGATTGGCGAACAACGATTTCGGAAGAAGAAAAGGTAGCAGCATAAAGTGTGATTATTCACTCATTATTACTATTTTCAATCTTCTGCCTAAGAACAAATCAAAATAAAATTGATGTTCATATTTATTATTATTACTATTACTATTATATTATCATTATTATTGTATTTTCATTATTATTATTAGTCACTATACGTTCTAACTTGGTTAGGAAAATCAGTGAACGAACACAAAAATGATATCCAAAATATGTTCAAGTCTCATGAGAAACTATAGAGACTTATATGTATTGACATGCTTACTACAAACGAAGCAGGGTAAACTTCTTCGAATCTGTAAAAAAATTAAGTGCGTGTCCGCATTCAAAGGAGCGTTTACAGAACTATCGAACTTTGCTTGCTTCCCATTTACTGCTTCCCCGGGCTCTCTCCCTAACGCCTCTCCGTTCACTGCGATCCTATGAAGAAATTCATACAAATGTCCAAGGGCAAAATATTTTACATGATGTGCTGTTCGTTCATTGATTTTATTTAACGTTACGAGTTAGAACGTATATTGACTATGATAATAAATAGATAATTAATAGTAAGCAGTAATAGTAGTAATAGTAATAATAGTAATAATATGAAACATCAATTTCATTTTGATTTGCTCACAGGGAGTCAGAAGATTGAAAGTAGTAATAATGAACGAATAATCACATTTTTTCTGAAAATCACCTTTTTCCTTTCCGAAATCGTTGTTCGCCAATCTTTTGCACCAGTTATGGACCTCGCCACAGGTAGCTGGCGCCTAGTCGCGAGGCAGCACTAATTAGGTGCCAAAATTTGAGGTCACTTCGCACCTCGTCGCGACGCAGCACTAATTAGGTGCTGAAATTTCCAATCGTACCACTTGAGACACACCCGAGTTCTGAAGACATGACTGAACATTCCCTCGTACAAGAAGGTGAGCTGGATCGCCAAGACCGCAGATCCCATGCATTTAACGATGCAAGGCGAACTGCGACCAAAAGCAGGCCAGCAAATGGGAAACAACTCAAAAATTCACTCCATGCTAATGAGTGAACAAATGCCTACCCGATTCATTGCTGTCTGCATCCAGGTCAAAGTATGGTAGTAGTCTCGTTGGTTGTATGCAGCTCGTCCAACCTAAGAAAAAATTTAATTCATACTTTCGGCAAAATACCTTGACGTACCTCTCTATGACCAGCCTCTCCTTCCTGCAAGACTATTATACGAACGTGTACATACTTCGTATTTTTATATTTTTCAAAAATGTATCATCATTAATCTATCAACAATTTTATCAGTGATGACACGTATGGTTTCCCGGCTCTGAAAATGAGTGCAAACAGTTCAGGAGCATTGAAAAATGTCAAATAAATCAGATTAAACTATGCTGTTTCGTGCGAAATCGTGCGCCACATGGTGGCGCACGCGGTACGCAATGTGTTAATACAAATACGATTACTCATAACAGCGAATAAATACTTTACGTATTATGTGGGGAACCCTTACTAATAAATCGCCGTGTTGCAATTAGAAGAGTTCACCTCGAATGCATCATGAGCTGTGAGCCTGTGAGCAACTTTATCGCCAAGGATTATGCCGTTTGAAAGGTCGGTGGTGTCAAGTCGGTAGACATCTTGAAGTCGAAGAATAGCGGTGGCAGCTCCGGACAAATCCTCGTCTTGAGGGAATTTCACCTAAAACCATATACGTGAGAATTAGTTGATCTCGTTAATCCACAACCCTTGACAACTGCTTGATTAATGGTGACGTTCATCAGACTCCCATTCACCATATCAATGAGCCGCAGAAACAGCCAGCTGTAGACAGCTGTTGAATGAGTTGAGCTGCTTCGATCAAGCACTACGATAAAAAAAAGAGCTTAGAACACTCACCTGACTTCGAATGCGATTTTCTGTGATGTTTTTGATGAAACTTTCGGCCTTGTTGTGGCGCATAATTTCTTCGACCTGCAATTATTTGAAAATATAGTGGCTTCTAGGGATTTCCTTGTATCGCGATTCTCTCGCTCATCAATATCGCGTCGATAAGTGCTCTTTTTATTTGTACAACTTCGGGTCAAAGATAGATGAGAGCATATCTGATGGTAGTGAACATTGTCGTAGTCCCAGGGGCATTTCTTAGATTTCTCCTCGACACATTTTAGAACGCCATACGCATTTTGCCCCTTAGAATGGGTCAATGCGAAAAGCACATGCTTCAATTCAGAAGAGGACATCCAAGGGGCGGAAGTGGTGTAGTGGCAAGTGGCGCGCTTACCACGCGAGCGGTCCGGGGATCAAATCCTGGGTCGTGAGTCGCCCGGGCCAACCAAGCCTTCCATCCCTCCGGGGTCGGTTAATTGGTACCAGACTTGTCTGGGAGGATAAAAACACTGACTTGTACATCGGCTGGCCCCGCAAGTCATTGTATAGGCCACATCGCATTCAAATGCCACTACGAATGTACAAATGGAAGTAGAATGCGTGCCGCATCCCAAAAGGGATTAGTGATCAAACGGTTAATGATCGTCTTTTGAAGTTTTATCGAAGAATTCACAGTCAAAATAGCGACACAGCCTGCCTCCGCCTTGCTAAGGAGAGGAGGTGAAGAAGCAGCGAAGCAGTGGCAGCGATACTTGGTTCGACTGTTCTCTACTCTCCTCCATTCTATTGTGACTCTCTTCTATATTTTTAAATACACATGTATGATCGAATTGCTGTGATATTTCGCTCGCTATTAAGTGAATCAGGAAAGGACTGTTGAGGACAAAGAGAGGGAACTATAGAAAAACACTAACAATTAGGATAAGAGAAAGCCCGGATATCTCCTCGGCCCATGTACACGGGAGATCCGGGTTTTCGAGATAGATAAACGCGAAGCAGCACACAAGGCCTGCCGCCTTCACCTGATAATGTCAAGGATGGTAGCGGTTGCAGCGGTCAACGGAAGACAGTAGTGTCCTTGTGCCACACCTCCGAGTCGCGAAAGTTTCAGGACCCACTCCCAGAGGGATTCCCCGCATCTCGTTCAAACCTTTCATTCAACCTGGAACATTTAATACAGGCCAACCTTCTCCCACTCGTGGCTTAATCGTTTGATGAGAAGAATTATGCATTGATCGATTTGTACAAAGTCCGGTCGCCGACATCTTCACGTCTTGTTGCGATCGATGTACTCGTCAGCAAATCTGAATATATCACTTATCCTTTAGAGAATCCAGTGCAAAACAAAATTATGTTAAAGCCAGCGCGCATTTCGTGCATTTGGGTGATTCAGGTCAAACAATTTCATTAGCCTCTGAAGGTGAATTCATGTTCATTGTTCAATTCATGAGCCTGCTTCCTGAGGGTAGGAGGAATTTTTCTGAGTAAGACAGTAACCTGCTTTACGTCATAGATTTTTTCGAGAGCACAAAAACATATGTGCATCCCATTTCCCTATATATGGTCGCTACAAAATTGCGGTCTACAGTATTAGGATCCGTGGCAAGAGCATACGGCAGATATGAAAAGTAAATTCTACACAGCATTACAGTTTCCTCCCCACAGCAAGAAGCTATCTCATCCGTAATCATGCATTCGTACGCCCGATGAACTTTTTCTGTGAACTTTCTAAGAATTGAAAACCTGCAGTGGGAAGACTCGAAAACGACATGCCATAACCCTTTTGAAGGTTTCGAGTCAGCTTTCGAAGTCGGTATTGGAATAAGTTTATGCCGCGTCCTCACATAAACATAAGCATAGATTACTGGCGTAAACAGCGAACGGCATAATGATGAGTGAGCTAAGCTAAGTCTCATTGCTCCTTTCTGCCCAACTGGTGCAAAACTGTTAGCGCCGAATTATTCCTGAAGGGTAGTAGTGGATCAAAGGCACAACCCAGGCAGAATCGTGTGAACGACTCCTTTCAGTCTACATGTAGTAGATCTAGAGGACAATCACAAATGTGGCGTTCCGTGCACGGAAACCAACCGACAAGAGCGCTTGGGCCTTGCAAAGTAAGCTGCTGAAGCTGCAGATTTTTTCTCTTATCAGGCTGTTGTCTACGCCCTCTTATCTGTTGTCTTCTTTTGCCCAGTACTCGTGGTTCATCTCATTGACTTACCTTAGCACAGCCGATTAGGAAGGTGAGTGAGCCCTCAACCTGAGCGTTTTCGACGGATTCTTTTCCTTTTTTTTCACTGCCGGCCCATTTCGGCACCGATACATTCACATTCGTGTGCAAGAGCCACACCAATGCGATCCTGGGGCATGCCTTTAAGGAGTATGAAATAAGAGTGGTTGCTAGGTAAGTAAGCAGTGAGCATTGTGTGTTATTCCAGTGAAGTTTTTTTTTTCCTGTGAAGTTTGCGGTGACTAGAATGTCAAAACGTACTGCTCGTATAGCGTGTAGAAGTAATCGCATAGCTAACTACTCGGCCCTAAGAATAGTTACGGTTACAACGATAATACAACATCTAAATCCGTATAAATTCGTAAAAATACGTGTTATAAAAACCTACCCTACCGTACCCATCTCTTTTGAACGGCAGAATGGGCTAACCATAATTTTAAGGGTCGTGTACATATGCAGACCACTAATACGAATGGTTATCGTTTGGAAAGAAATACTGTACCTCTGGTCAACAAAGCACGCGGGTAATACGAAGGGTATAAAGGTTCACTAAAGGCAAAGGTCGGGCTCAATAAGGGGTACTACGGCGCTTGAAACTGAGTGTAGAGATGCGAAACGGCATGACAGTGGAGAAAAAACAACCGCACAGAGATGATGGAAGGGTTTGTTTTGGTCCCCTAATCCTGATCTTTGCCTTCAAGGGAGAAGGATATGTGTTGTGATCTCAGCTGATGATCGGATAATATCCGTGGTCACCAACTAGTTGACCCCGTAAATTATGTCCCCGTTCGTGTACCCAGTCGTACCTGCCCGACTTCGATCGAGGGTCGATAGCAATTGATCGATTTCACTGCCAGCCAATTCACTGGTTTAATTGATGTTTTTCAGCTCATGAAGTCGCAGACCTGGTGTGCATCAGGTGAACAAAAATGCTGTTTTGAGAAGAACAGCCTTGATTCCTTAGATCCCCGCGAAGTCTTGAAGGCCAATTTTTCATATACCAAATATCTGATCCGCACTATGCGAAAAGCATGCGAGGTGTATAAATACACATCTTCCACCGAAAACAGCATTTTACACATTCCCTCGCTGTCGCTTCTGAAGTGCTTCGCCGCGTCGCACTATTCTGACTTGAATCTTGCGCTGTTCATCCCTTCACCCCATCTCGGTTACGAAATGAATTCAAAAGAACAAAATAGTCTTCAACATCTACTGGTTTCCGAAGCTCGTAGCATACATACACCGAGCCCGTATCTTAATGTTTCTATGATGCCATAGAGAAATCGAATGCGTGGCGCGTCCCACAATTATTAACCCAAACACGGCGTTTATTTTTACTTGGACATCGAGCGGAATTGTTGCGAGCTCAATTATTCTATGAAAGGTTTCCTGTGATTAAAAAAAAAAAGTTGCTACCAGCAATTTTTACCGTTTAAGTTCGTCCAGCCGTTTCTCTTCGGCCTCGATGTATTTGTCGATGATGGTGGTCACCTCCTTTTCGGCTCCCAGCATCCGCTGCATGTCAGCGATAGCAGTGAATAAATCGGCAGTGCAGCTGCCGAACAGCAACAGCAGTAATCCGAGACCCAACATCTGAACGGCAAAGTTCTTGGAGAGTGCTCACTCAATACAAAATTTCGATTTTCAAGAGGAATTGTGAAGCTAGGGAAAAAGTTCCACATCGAATGAATTCAATAAATGCGTTAACTGCCTCTACTGAAGAAGAGGAGCAGAATTGAACTAAATCAAAAAATAACCAATCATGAAATGATTATAAACTAATTGAAATCAAGACC